CTCAAGTGCTCCTTCAGAAAAAGCCCAGTGCCTCTTTAGTGTAGGACTGAGATCCCTCCTTTGTATGCTGAAAAGAAATGCTCACTCTTACTCATTGCTTCCCATTTACCACAGAAAGATGGGGGAACTAAGGGTGAACGAAAGAGCATTTTAATAATTTTAGGATTTACCTGCACAGCACACTCATTCATTCATAAGGCAGAAGCAACTTCTAACAACTGACAAAAACTTCTAACAAACTATAATTGGTCAGCACTTAAATGTTCTGAGCTAGATACATGAAAAGGCATGCCATGGGGCTTTCATTTGTACCATGTATTAGAAGAATCTTATTGACTGGATTTCATTGATTTATATTCTGCCTGAATTGACACATTCAGAGACTGGAGAAATGTCCTTTTTGTTATTTCTCAGGGGCAAAATAGACTTTTTTTTTTTGTAAAATGCAACAGTTTCTTCAAAATGAACAGAACAATGTAGTCATCTTTTGTAGGGCAGAGCACCAATTCCATACCTTTATGTGCAACAAGCCCCCGCACTCTTTTAAGTCATGGTAACACAAAGCTTCTTTTCATTTTCTCTTCAATTGCTCTCACTTAGGAGGCAACAGTTGAGTTGGATGGCGATGAGAAGCATGGTGAGTATTTTTGTTTCACCTAGTGTTGTGTTCCCCCTCTTAGGCTTCCTGTCCATTAATCATAACTAATTTTGCAAAGCAGTGAAACTTGATCAAGATAGAATCCCCTCATCTCTCCTCTATCTTTCTTTTCCTACATAAATACCATTTTAAGTGTATTTATTGTATTTTAATTGTTTTTATCAGACTGTTATTATTTAATTGGTTTTTAACTTTTGTATTGCACTTTTTAAACACGTTTAGTGTGAATTTTTAGCCACCTTTTCTCACCACAGGGAGAAAGATGGAGTATAAATAAAGATAATAACAACAACAACAATACTTGATTCCATCCAAATCCATCAGTCTTATCACTGTAGATATTCTTTCCCTGCTAGCTTCCCCCCTCATTGTTTTGTTTATTTATTTATTTATTTATTCCTGGGGGGGGAGGGGCTGTTGCCAACAATCAAACAATTGCAGTACACACAATTAACATTAAGCAAACCAACAAGATTATAAAAATACATTAAAATATTGACCATTAAGTATTAAAACACAACCAAGCCTAAGTCCCCAAATCTAAATCATAATCCAAAGAACCAGTCCATTCATTGACAGTTCTCATAAGTCATTGCAGTTGCTGCTTGGTCAGCTGCCCGAATGCTTGATCCCAAAGTCAAACTTTAAGATTTTTTTCTAAAGGAGAGGATAGAGGGAGTCACCCTAATTTCACTGGCGTGTGGGCTTTTCTCTGCCCCACCTGCAAAAAGCTTCACCTCTACAGCTTTTGCTGGGGGGAAAAGGATAATTATTGTTGAAGGCTTTCGTGGCCAGAATCACTGGTTTGTTGTAGGTTTTTGGGGGCTGTATGGCCATGGTCTAGAGGCATTCTCTCCTGATGTTTCGCCTGCATCTATGGCAAGCATCCTCAGAGGTAGTGAGGTCTGTTGGAACTAGGAAAATTGGTTTATATATCTGTGGAATGACCAGGGTGGGACAAAGGACTCTTGTCTGCTGGAGCTAGGTGTGAATGTTTCAACTGACCACCTTGATTAACATTTGATGGCCTGGCAGTGCCTGGGGCAATCTTTTGTTGAGAGGTGATTAGATGTCCTTAATTGTTTCCTCTCTGTTGTTTTGCTGTTGTAATTTTAGAGTTTTTTTAATACTGGTAGCCAGATTTTGTTCATTTTCATGGTTTCCTCCTTTCTGTTGAAATTGTCCACATGCTTGTGGATTTCAGTGGCTTCTCTGTGTAGTCTGACATGGTGGTTGTTAGAGTGGTCCAGCATTTCTGTGTTCTCAAATAATATGCTGTGTCCAGGTTGGTTCATCAGGTGCTCTGCTATGGCTGACTTCTCTGGTTGAAGTAGTCTGCAGTGCCTTTCATGTTCCTTGATTCGTGTTTGGGCAATGCTGTGTTTGGTGGTCCCTATGTAGACTTGTCCACAGCTGCATGGTATACGGTAGACTCCTGCAGAAGTGACAGGACCCCTGGTGGTTTTTTGGTGTGGCTTGTTAGTGCCTGAGGGAATCTTTTGTTGAGAGGTGATTAGCTGTCCCTGATTGTTTCCTCTGAATGTTCACAGTGCAATTTGTTCTTCTTGAATTTGTGGAGAGAATTGTTGTTATTATTATTATTATCATCTGTATCCCATATTTTCTCTAAAAACAGAGACTCAAAATGATGCACAATGAATGCAATTTAAAATCTAAAAATATGCAAACATTAAAATAGAATCAAAATATTAACAGTATTAAAATATAGTTAATAAACCTATTCATAGCTAAAACCAAAGCACCCCTGACTTGATATTAAAAACTTCTTTCTTTAATAGCCCGTCTGAATAGAAAGGTTTTGTGATCCAGTCAAAACACAACTTTATGAGACAGATCCTTTTCTTCCCCAACTTCCTTACAATTATCTGTATTTCTTACAGTCTGCTCCATCTGTTTGGAGCAATAAACTGCACTGAATATGGAAATTCCCTCCCAATTTTGGGCAACTTTCTCTTCACATTGGTCTACTGTAAGACACATTCCATGATTATCTATAAGGGCCACCTGACTCTCTAGAGAGTTTTTGGGGATGGGGAGGCAATAGGCTTCTGACGAAGGAAGAAAGATCTGTTGCACAGAGTTACTCTCTGTCTGCACAGTGCTGGATTTATGTATTTATTTATTTGCTTCTTATATATCCCGCCTTTCTCACACCAGTAGGGAGACTCAAGGCCGCTTACGACTCTAGCAAGATTCAATGCCACTTAAAACATAGTCATAAAAACTATGTATATACTATAGATTTCACACATTGAAGCTTGACACAATCTCGCTTAGCTTCTCTTCAATCTAAAACAGTTAAGGAAATTATTTTACATGGTTCCTATTCATTATTATCATTCAGTAGCCATAAGTGCATCATATTGGCACTAGGAAAAATCAATTCAATGCAGTATGTTATGCAGAATAAAACTATTTCAACCAGCCCAAACTGAGTTGCTTGTTTGTATTTTCTACACTTGTTTGTATTTTCAGATAGAACCCTTTGAAATTAATACATTAATGTTTTTGTTTCACAGGGGGGCTTGTCAAAAAAATATTGGAAACAAAGAAGGATTATGAGTTATCACAGTTGCCAAAATCTACTGAGAAGGTAAAATGCTAATGGTGTTCACACAACTTGAGCAAGTCAAGTTCTTAGCTGCTTATTTTTAATGTCTGTAATCCAACCCTCTTTTTTGCATCATTGTGTCATTGGTCTCTCGCAAAAAAAACAAGTGTTTCATATTGAGTCTTTGCTCTAAAGAAGGTACACTTTTAGTGACCACTTATAAAACCACTTGCTAGGTAGTATCAGATTATATGGAGTTCTTCTGACCGACCACCTGTCCAGTTGCTATGTGATAAATGACACTTCTAGTGCTGGTTCAACTATCCTTGACCCTGTAAAGTTTACAAAGTCCTCACTTGTTTACTTAATCATGGAGGAATCAATGACTTCATGTGTTATTTATTTTTATAGCACTATGTGAAGTTGATTAGTCTGAGAAACAGTGACTGGTTCATAATTTACCAGGGGAGATACATGGCAAAAAGGAATTTAAGCTCAGGTCTCTGTGAGATATTCATAAACAAAGCACCAAAGAGACATCAAGAAGCTGGAAGAGGACATGTTGTTTTTTGATGTAGATCATTGACCCTCAATCCTCAGGCCTCCAGATACTTTGGACTTCCATTTCCAACAATCCCTGGTCAATATTGACTGGGAATCCTGAAAGATGAAGCCCAAAGCAGCTGAAGGACTAGAGGTTAAAGAACTACTGGTTTAAATCTTTCATTCTTATACATTTATGAAGAAGGCATATTCGAGAAGCCTCTGGAAAGTGGATTTGCAAATATAGTTCAGTGGGTTGTTGTAGGTTTTTCCGGGCTATATGGCCATGTTCTAGAGGCATTTTCTCCTGATGTTTCGGCTGCATCTATGGCAAGCATCCTCAGAGGTAGTGAGGTCTGTTTGGCGCTGCGTTTGGTGGTCCCTGTGTAAACTTGTCCACAGCTGCATGGTACACGGTAGACTCCTGCAGAGGTGAGAGGATCCCTCTTGTCCTTTGCGGAACGTAGCATTTGTTGGATTTTCTTGGTGGGTCTGTAGAGTTTGTATGTTGTGTTTCCTCATCAGCTTCCCTCTGCGGTCAATGAAAATGAACAAAATCTGGCCACCAGTATTAAAGAACTCAAAAATTACAACAGCAAAACAACAGAGAGTAAACAATCAGGCACATCAAATCACCTCTCAACAAAAGATTCCCCCAGGCACTTCCAAGCCATTAAATGCTAATCAAGGTGGTCAGTTGAAACATTCACACCTAGCTCCAGCAGACAAAGTCCTTTGTCCCACCCTGGTCATTCCACAGATATATAAACCCATTTTCCTACTTCCAACAAACCTCACTACCTCTGAGGATGCTTGCCATAGATGCAGGCGAAACGTCAGGAGAGAATGCCTCTAGAACATGGCCATATAGCCCAAAAAAACCTACAACAACCCAGTGATTCCGGCCATGAAAGCCTTCGACAATACAAATTTGGTTTGGTTGTAGAATTTTTTTCTAGTATTAAAATTTTGTTTAATTTGTAAGCTAGTGACTGCTAAAATATATTTTCCAGTGGTCCCTTTTGCATTCAGACATACCTGAACCAAGACACCATTCACAGAAAGAATCAACAAACAAACAAAAAAACCCTGGAAATTTGGGTTACGTCAAGGTGAACATGTATGCACTTTGCATGAAAATACCCTTGCAAGTAATTGTATGTAAAATAAGGTTTTTGAAAAGAATACTTCTGATATAAAAAAAATGGCAGCTCTCACATGGAGTTCTTTCTGGGAATGATTCCTTTTTTGTGTGTGTGAGTGGGACAAATGTGAACAATGAGAGTACCCCTAGTCTGTTTGATTTACTTTCAGCTGTCCAAATATATTTCCATGAAGAGCTTATCTCACCCTTGGGTTTCTTTTAGATCACATTAGAACTCTACGAGGATTAAACAATAGTTTAATGGCTGTGTCTTAACATGGTCATTTTCTCTCCTTTTTTTCTTTTCATGCTGTCCCAATATATGCTAATATATCTCCCCTTTTTGCTGCTTCCATCACCTTCATTTCTCACTGTTTGTTTTTTTTAAAAAAAAACAATTAGGAAAAGCCACTTCTATCAGAAGTGACAAGGAAGAAGGAAAAGGACATAGTAGCAAAAGAAATTGATAAGTTTCGTGGATCAATTCAAGCCCTTTGTCGGAGTGCTCTTCCTCTTGGAAAAATTATGGACTACATACAGGAGGATGTAGATGCCATGAAAACTGAGCTCCAGATATGGCAGAATGAAAACAAACAGCTTGAAGAGGCTCTGCAGAAGGAGCAAAGGTGAGGATGAGGAGAAATGTATCTCATCCCTGTATGGGATCTCTCCAAAGAAAATCGGAATTGGATAATATTTTGGAGAAGGGGAACAAGGCACTCATTTCCAGATTATAAGAATACATCTTAGAACACAATTTAGAAGATAATTGAATAAGAACAGTGATGATTCCATGGGCTAAAGACTTAGGGAAAAATATTGATTTAGAATAAAACAGGAATATTTATGGAAAAGAGGTTTTAAGTTTTCAATAGCTGGATCCATCAGAGAAAATGTGTACAAAATCTATATATATAAAAATGCTCTGTGCATAATGAGTACCTTAAAAACAAAAGAACCAATGAACGAAATC